TGCGTTTCTTATTTGTCATTGTATTAAAAAGAGCTGAAATTAAAAATTTTCTTAATTTATCCACAAAATATCCGGATAAAAAAAGGGCAGCACTAAACAATCTCGTGAAATGAAATAACAAAGCTCAGAAAATACAACGTGAATCGTGAACTTGAACAAAGAGTCGAGTGAATCGTCTGCTTTTTTTACCTCAATGCAGATTAGAGGGAAAAAACTTATCTTATTTTTTAAACTTTTTTATGTCAGTAATTTCGTATTTCTGTTTTGACTCATTATTATTCGGTAATTATGACGTCATCATTCAGTAAGTATTTTTTCTTCAATATTTCGTACTCGTGTACTCGTGTTGCGGTTTCCGGAACGTATAAACTGAATGTTTATATTCTGAGAGGCAACGCGGATTTCAGGTCGGCGGATTTTCGGTATTTGACTGTATTACCTTTTCAACACCAGCCAAATACAGGGAAAAAAGAGTAGGGCTCAGCACTGAACCTTGAGGTACTCCCTGACTCATCTCAAAGCTGTTTGACATGGTAGTATTGAGTTTCACTCTGAAAAGTCTGTTACTTAAAAAACATAGATCCAGATAAAGTCTTTCCACTAATACCAAAATCCTTGTATAGTTTAACAATCAATTAATGTTTCCAGACCCTGTCAAAAGCTTTTGACAAGTCCAGAAAAGCAGCCACTGTATGACTTTGTCGGTTGCAGGTTTTGAACATCTTTGATCTTCTGGCAGATGTAGAGAACCTGATCTGTTGTGCTGTGACCCCTTCTGAATTCATATTGTTCCTTTGGCAAAAGGTTGTGGTTGTCAAGATGATAAAGCAATCATTTCTGGACCACGTTTTCCATAACTTTGCATAATATACTAGTCAGAGCAATGGGCGTATAATTCTCGGAGATCCATCCACTTGCCCTGTTGTTTTTTCAGTATTTTTTTGCCCAGAAAGTTGTGCACCGAAAATTTGGTCTTAAAGCCCATTGACCTGTTTGTTTTGGCATGGAAACTCTAATTGTAAATTTTTTTTAAAATAACTTTTTTAACTGTATTAGGTGTTCTAGGTTTTTCTGTATTTTAGAATTTTTAATGAAGATTGAGTCTTTATGTATTTTTGCCTTGCCATGAAGGGAAAACTGAATTGATTGAATTAGAAATGTATGAATCTGTAATGAAATTCTAGAAAATACACTTACAGAATTATACTTTTTTTTCACTTCATTTAAGTGAAAAAAAAAAGTATTTAATAGGCCATCAAAAGCATAGCTAGGGTTTTGAGTGAATGGGGACAACTGAAGATTTTGTGCCCCTTTTTATGTGCCAAGAATGGAAAATGTTTCATTCTAAAATTTCATAACATCAATTTGATGCCCATGAAAGCTGTTCCCGGGGAGCAGATGTCCCCTTTTGCTCCACCCTAGCTATACCATTGTAGACCATACAAGGAAGCCATTGTGTTCACATCAGACATTTTTGCAAAAATTCTATTACAGACTTTTCATCTTTGGGCAATTCCAAAATTGTTAGATCCGTAATATTATAAACAAGTATTTGCAGGTTTAATTTACTTATTAAAAAATTAAACCAGCAAATACTGGTAATTCCCACGAGGTTCCCTTAGGTTTTGCCATCAACTCTATGTTGGATTCTGAAGTCATCTCTGTGGTGGAAGAAGCATATTCGGAATCATTTATCTTGAAATGGATCTGCATCGTCTTCAGACTCATCCCAAAAACAATCAGCGAGCTGTTGTACTTCTCTATCATCTAGCTTTCTCTTTCTAAAAAAAAAATATGTACATGTATATATGTAACGTATATATGTAAACGGTTTTTGTTGTTTGTATGTATGTATGTATGTAATGTGTGTATATATGTAATGTATGTTTGCATGTATATATGTAACATACATATGTTTACATATATACACACAAACAACAAAAATATGTAATGTATATATTTATGTATATATGTAAATGATTTTTGTTATTTGTATGCTCGCAAACATATACAATACAAACCAAGTTTGTGAGCATACAAACAACAAAAACCGATTGGGATGCATTTATCCCAATGGTAGTTTGAGAGGGACATATATGTCCCATGTTGAAATTTTCAGCAAAAAAGGGAATAAAATATGTCTGCAATACCATAAAGTAATTCACACTTTTATCCACTGATTTATGATAAAACAATTGTCAAAAACAATAAATAGACTCTCAGGTATAGGTTAGGTAACATTCGCTTTGTTGCTGAATGTAGACTGATTGAGAGTGCATGGCAAAATTGGCAGAAAACCTTTAGTCAAAGTCCGATACTTTTGGGACACACTCACGCCTTTATTAGACAGGGCTGTGGAGTCAGTAGGGAAAATGACTGACTCTGACTCCTAGAATTTTAAAGACTCCAACTCCAAACATATGCACATGGGTTACAGCTTATTTTTTAATATAAAAGAAATAATAGATGCTACAGAAAAGCAATTGATGGAATAGCAAGTTATTTATATGAATTAGCATTTATTATGAAATAGAAAAACTGGCATTAGTAATTTCTAAGAAACAGTATAGCTTCGGCCTTTGTTAGGGGATCATTGTATCAGATTTAATCAACTTCAGAGCTGAGAAGAGTCTTTCCACACTGACTTGAGTAGGAGGAAGAGCTGTTACTGTTATGATTACTTCTTTTAACTTTTCAGGATTGATTTTTATAAGTTCTAAAAGGGGTGTCTTGCAAGAGCAATCATATTTCACCATTTCTTCAAATTCCGTGTAGAAATTTTTCTTGTATTTTTTATCCAAAGGCTCTTTCTTGGTTTTTTATTTTCATTCACTTTGCCTTAGCCTTTTCAATATTATCCAAATATTTCTCAAAATCTAATTAATCACTGGAAGAGGATGATTGAGACTCAGTTGCTATGTCTGCAGTTTGACTATCCTGATTTGAATACTCCAGTTGTTCTAAGATTAATTTCATTCTTAATGAAAGTTCATAGATGGCTTTCTTTGCCTTTTTAATTTGTTTGTTATCCAACAAAATCCGGTGTTTTGGATCTACATATATTGAACCTAGCAAGATCTCATTGTCTAGTAAACTATGAGATCTTGCTATTTCTCTTTTCTTCATTTAAGAAATGATTCCTTCTGCAATAAACCTTCCATTTCAGAAAGAACTAACATCACATTCTTCCGTTCTCGCCAATCTTTTTGTATGATATTTTCTTTTATACGATGTAGAAAGAAGAGTTTCCAATTCTGATAAAATCATTCCACAGTCTTTCTGTTAGTGAAACATTAGAGTTATCAAAATCTTGTAAAAAAAGTTTTTTATTCTAACAACCTGTATGTCAATTTCCAATTCTGGCAAAATCATTCCACAGTCTTTCTGTTAGTGAAACATTAGAGTTGTCTACATCGTCTAAAAACTTTTTTAATTCTAACAACTTCTATGTCATCAAATATATACTTCCTCACCGCATTGCTTGACTAATAATTGCTCCTTTTTCTGCTTGCTTCCTAAGAATGACATCAATTTTTGGAGTCCATGCTGCTATTGCTGCTTACCTAAGTTTACCAATGAGATTTGTAACTAAATGAAGTAAATAAATGAATCAGTTTAACCAATAATGGTAAATATCACATCCATCCTCCTCCCTTATATTTATTTATTAATATGCCAATAAAATAGAAATTAAGTACTTATTAATATATCGTCTATAAATAAAAATAGTAACTCAGTGTGTCATTATTTTTTTTTTTTTTTTTTTTTTTTTCAATTCACTTTAATTTTATTTCAAATTCAAACTGTCTAACAAAAATCGGATTTGAAGTCAACGTGTTTTTAGCGACTCCAGCTCAGACTCCTTTTACCCCAAAATCTGCCTAACTCCATTCAGACTCCACAGCCCCGTTATTAGACATGCTTCCCTCTTGAATTTTTTGAGTTTGCTATGGGACATATATAATCCATTATATGCGAAACGGTTAATTTCAAATTTCTCTTTTGTGTACATTTCAATTTTCAATTACATTACCTGTATTTGATTTTATTACAATTGTTTAATGACTTAAAATCATTAATATATTTTTAATTCATCATAAAAATATTGAAAATTACAATTTTTAATGTTTTCTATGTTAATACTCAAAATACAATTTCTATATAATTTATACATTCAAAATTTTTCACAATACTTCAAAAGTATAATAATTGTAAAATTAAATTCTAATTGCTGTTTCTAAATAAAATTTTTAACTTATTATTTAACTGATTCTACATTGTAATTGAAAAGTAAATATCTAATACCATAAAGTTTTAATTTTTGATCATTTTTATAGAAACAGCATTACATATTCAAATTTCTAAGTAATAACTACTACTAGCAGTTTTTTAATTAATGAGTATATAAAATATTTAATGTGTTTTAATTAATGAGTAAATTACTTCACAGTTGTAAAATATTTATACTAATATATGTTTAATACTAATAATAATTTATTTACGTTTATCCTAATAATCCTAGCATGCATTATTACTAAGATAATATTAAATGCACTCATAAAATGTATAAATGCAAAACCATTTAAAAAATATTGAAATATTATAGTTTCATTTTTTGAATGACACTTTTTATGTTTTTTTAAAGCAAAAATCGAATTGCACAAATTTTAACTAAATTTAGTTGCAAAATTAATAGTCCACAGCATATTTATCAATTTTGCATTACTGAAAGAAAATGCTATGTGTTTTATTTAAAGACAAATGTAATTTTGAGTGTTGGGGTGATGAATGTAACATAAATCATGAAAAATTGAAGCGGAAAAACATAATTAGTTACTATTTTTAGGATGAAAAGGGCAAATTACCAAATTAGAATAGATAGTTAAGGATCTATTCCAGATTTAAGTTAGATTTAGTTAGAATTTTGATTTGTATATTTTTATTTTGCACATATGTCATTGTTTTCTCTATTTATAAATATTAATATGATTTTATTTCAGGAAATTAGTGTTAAAGATTTACATGGTCGTTGTCTTGCTGGATCATTTTTACTAAATTCTTTATGCGGGTAAGTTGTTTATTTATTTATTATTATTTTGTTTGTTAATAATATGTAATCTTTTCTGCAGAATAATTGTCTTGCATTTTATTAGAATTCATATTCTGCAGTATAAAATTTGGTATTTTTCCATTATGCTCTTGCCTCGCTTTTTGGTGCTTGCAAAAGAGAAGCCGAACACTCAATGTGTTCAGATGTGACAAAAGAAAACTATAAGGCTGCATGAAAGTACATTCAGGTTTCTTAAAAACACTTTTAATATATTTAATGCCAAGCCTGTTTTGTTTTTCTTTCCGTTTAACCCACAATATCGTCTGGAGATATGTATATAAGTTAATAGAACATAATTTTTTAAATTGTGTGTCATCAGTCAATAGTGACTGATTTGCCTGAACAAATAGTATAATGTCACTCCCTATTGGCTGATACAGTCTGAAGAGAAAGTAAAGTATCATGTCACTGACATGACATTTAACATGTTAAGCGTGAACTCAGTATGCCTTTTTTAGGTGAGCATTTTTTCCATGGCTGTCTGTGGTACGGTCTGATAATCTAGCTTATTGCTTTCAGGTTAAGACTTCATATTGATGCTACCTTTAATGTAATACTGTGGAAGAACAAAGTACAAGCTGAATAATATGTGCATTTTTATAATGGCAGTTTTGACTTTGAAAATTCAAGCAATTGTAGTAAATTCATACATCATTGTTAATGTGCTTGCAGAAATCTTGGAGGTATAAAACACTTTTATAATTTTAAGATGCTGCATGCACTTTGCTTGCTGAGCAAGTTTCAGAAATTGGTTTAGTTGCCTACCTGTAATCAATATGTAGAAGCCACATTTTTGTAAGTTTTGCCATTACAACAATTCTGTGATTACATGGCAATAAAGAATGGTACTGTATATTTACATAAAGATCATGTAAATTTGGATAGTGAATGATAATTTGTCCTCTTATCTGAAACTAGTACTCATCTGCATGAATTGATATTATGTGTTGGATAGGATTAACTCAGCATTATCCTTTAAGAACTGTTTCTGGAAGACACCAGCCTCACCACCACATTGTTATGTCATGTGATGTCGCAATAGCATCTCGTGGATAAATTCACTGAAGATGCAACTTAACATAATGTTGCAAAATGTCCAACGGCTGGGCATTAAGATAACTTCCCTGCAAAGTGGGTCAAAAACGAAGCTCTTGCAGTGGAGCAGAGAAAGAAGTCTGCCAGCTAAGCAGCAAGAGTCAACAGCGGGCTTAGAGTAGCCAGAATGTGACAGGGAAAGACAGGATTGCCAGATTATGTTATTTAGTATGAAATCGTCCATTTGGCAACTTGTTATAGACAAATTTAAAACATTCTAGAATGCATTTTTAAAGGTTTTCTTGGGAATATTCTTGAAGAACTGTGGGTACTTTTCCGTTTCGCCGGCGCAAATCTCGCCAAGCAGACTTTGTTGGCGACAACATACAGTATACACGTAAAAAATGTTAACAAATGTTAGGTCTAAGAAATTTTTATCATGATTATTATCATTTATTAAAGGCATGAACATTTTAATATGGTTTAAAATTTTGAAAAAAGCCAATAAATAAAGACAATTAATTTGTAAAAAACATTAATTAAAGAATTTACGTATTTCATGGTTTAACATCCTTGATTCGCCGGTTCTATATCACGTTGACCCCAAGTGATCTCATCTCAACATAAACTACGCTACAAAAATATAATTCTCTCAGTAATTATCTGCATTAATTTCAAGTTAAATCTTAATTTGGAATACAAGTTTAAATGTAAGAATTATTTCAATTCGTACGAATAGCTTACTCAGAAATTATGTAAAACCGCAGTGCTTTACTTTGCTAGTGTATTCTCATTAGAACTGATGAATTTAATCCTTGATTTTTGCCTCTTCTATATTTTTGCCAGCGGTTGTGTTGATTGCATCATAATTGACTTAATTACCGCGAATCGTCTTAGGGAATAGCATTTAGCTATGTCTTGTAAAAATTCTATGTAATTGTATGCCAGTATTGAAAGACAATCAATCTGATAAGAAATGGCTACGACTTGTTTTGAAAATGAGGCATAAAAGGTTACCAGCGAGGATATTCCGTTTGGCATCAGTTGTACCATTATTGGCGATTTACCGTTTGCGCCGGCAAAACGGAAAAGTACCGAACTGTGCTAAAGCTATGTATACCCTGCCTGTACAGCAATAAAGTAGTGTCTTGAGTTCAGAGATTATTAGCCTGAGAGTGATCGACCAAATCGGTGCTCTTCATCAAGTATTATAATCAATTACTCCAAATCTATGAACCAGTAGAAAGCAACAATAGTATTGTTAAATTCCTGCCTGACAATGAAAAACTGCATGTAGCTCGAGCAGCTAACACAGAAGTTACTAGAGCTGGGCTGGAAAATTCTGCTTTATGTCATTGGATAATAGAGATCTTGCACTAATGGAATGCGATTTTTTTTCCTGTTGTTGAGTATTGCTGTCAAAGAACAGGTATTTAAAGAAGCTTAGTTAAACGAGTGGCTGGAAAACTTTAATTTATGCCTTGAAAATTTCTTGTGATGTATTGTTTATTATTCATTATGTATGTGTATTAAATGATTGATTTTTTTATAGGTCACTTGCTTTATGGTATTTTGTTCAAAGAACAAAGCTGTGCCTAGATTTTACTGTAACTGCTCACTTAATTCATCTCATCTTTTGTTGGTGGTATAGTTCATCATTTCCCACCACATTTTCTTGGTGGCTTTTGAATATTATGTGTGTTACTGTCATGTGCGTGTGTGGGGAATTCCTTTGTATGCGATCTGAAATGAAAGCTATACCCTTAAGCATGGGAGCAAAGGCTGACCTGTAGCACTGAAACTAAATTTAAAGCCTATAGCTTCTGTAAAACTTTATTTTGAAATATGGTGCAAACTGAAACTTTTTTTGCATAGATTAAAATGAAACCTTTTACTTTTGATGTATAGCCAAATAGCATAACTATTTATATGCATGTATAAATTTATTTTAAAGCAGTTTGTTTTTAAAAATGATTGGCAGTCTGTTAAGTTATTCAGATTCGGTTTAGCTCTATAAAGTCAATTTTAAATATTGTAAATAGTTAATAAATATTATTTTTATGTGGAAATGTGTAATTTTGTTATTAACCAATAAAATAAAAGTTATTTTTGATTTTCAGTTGTCATTATATTTTAATTTTTTTTTTTTTTTTTTTTTTTTTTTTTTTACTGCATAGTTTGTACAAATTAGAACATTTTGTAATAAATTCTAAAAGTCTAAACATATACTAGAAGTTTTATATTAGAGCAGTGTGCAGATATTTTATAAGTGGGATAAATATAATATCAAAACCTTTTAATTAATTTTTGATACTAAAATTTTTTTATTATTCAAGTTTGAAATTTTGTTCAATAAATTAATATTTGCTTCATATATTTAAAAAAGTATTCATACCAAAATAAATTTGGCAGAATGATAGATGTGCATGCGTACACACATATATACATATAAAACACTGAAAGTTTTGAGAATCTTGTGTGTGAAACACCTACTACATTACTATGTACTATTTTTTCTTGTTTAACTTACAAAACAATGAAAAATAATCTAAATTTAATAAATATACAGTGGTGGCCAAAATTGTGGACAGTTTTGGAAATTTTAATGTTTTTGAACTTTGTATGCTTATAGAAAATGTTACGTTTTGCAAAATGCAAACATGTATATATCATTTTTTAAAAGAGAATTTATTACTGAATTCAATACAAAACACAAAATTCAATTATTTGCAATACAAAAAAAGTTATATGTACTTTAATATAAATAAAAAACACAGTTATGAAGTGGTTTGTAATGTCTAGCTTTCCTGGCCAATCACTGTTCTTGTTCTGAGAACCAATCAAATGTTAGTAACTGCCAGTAGAAGCTGACATCATGTTTACACTTAAAACAATTCATTATTTTCCTTTGTTCTGTAGAAGGAGGACCTGTTTCTTATATACTGCAATTACAAGTAGGAATTTTTGTAAAAATTTTTAATATTTAGTCAAGAAGCAATGACATCAAATAAAAGAGTAGATTAGACACCTAGAAAGAGATGTAATATTATTGTGTTACGAGAAAGTGGTTTTTCCTATGCTGAAATTACGAAACAGGTAGGTGGTTCAGTGACTACATCTGGAGTCCGGAAGTTTTGTTTATGATATCAGGAGACAAATTCAATAAAAAACAAAGAAGGAAAAGGCCGAAAAAGGTGCACCACATCTATTGATGACAGAAGAATAAAAAGACTATGTCTTCAAGATAGAAAAATGTCATCAGCGACCATCAGAAGTGATCTGGGGTTTTCATCCGCAGAGAACCCGTTGGCGCCAATGCAATTTTTACTCGCCAAAGTATGAGCGGATCCGTAAACGTGATTTTTAGTGCATGTAAATTCAAGTTAGCAGACAAAACAATATATTAAGCATATGGTAGTAAAAATTCACAGATAATAAGCATGCAGATGTAAAACTAACCGGTTAAATGTGATATACGAAATAAACCTGTCTTTTTATAAATATATTTCACAATACAAATAACCTTCAACAGTAATCAAATTTTCTTTAGTAGCATTTTTAATAAAACTAGAACTTTATACATTTTATTATTTTTCAAGAGTTATTTGAACTGTATTCCTTACACCAGTAGAGGTTTACTAATTTTGATGACCATGGGGATGCATCAAACTACTCTGTCATCTTAGATAATCAATAATATTTTTTATTTCAATTTAATCAGTTATTTATGTCACACCTGCCATCCTCGGACAGGTTATTTATTGTTAGAAAAGCATTGACAATATAGTACCTTGTTAAAATTGGAGCCGAGAACCGGTATCTATCGATGAAAACTTCTTTAATTATACGAAAATATTTCTATCTATTCGTTGTTAAAAAATTCAGAAAAAATAATAATAAATAAGAGAAGAATATAAATCTCCAAATGTGAACAACGACAGTGATAATTCAACAAAATGAACTCAAGAGGAATGGTTGCAACCGTCAAACAAGCGAATAGGATGAATCCGATAGGTTACCAGGTTTGAACTATTATCGCCAAAGTTGGCGATGTTTACATTTACCGGGTTCTTTGCGAAAGTGCTTCCGTGATCTGAATGATGCTGATGTTTCTGTCAGTTCAAGAACAATCAGGAGAAGATTAACAGATGTTGGACTGAGAGGTAGAATTCCATGAAAAAAGCCTTATCTTAATTTTCAGCAACGGAAAAAAAACTACAGTGGGCAAAGGAACACATTAATTGGACAGATGATCAGTGGTCACAAGTTATATGGAGTGATGAAACTAAGATATCGTTATTCGGTAGTGATGGGCAAAAATATGCAGAGCTACATCCTGACTGCATTCAAGCAACTGTGAAGAACCCAGTTAGTGTTATGATTTGGTCATCACATGTCAGCAGATGGTATTGGTCGCCTTTATGTCATCGATGGGACACTGAATGCCAGAAAATACATTGACACTATTCTAGAACCAAAACTTCTACCTTTCATCAGAGATTTCTTTCCCAACAATGCTTCGTTTATTTTTCAGCAGGATTCTGCTTCTTGCCACACGGCCAAAATATCGAAAGAGTGGTTTCGTACAAAGAGCATTGAATTGTTATCATGGCCAGGAAACAGTCCTGACCTCAATCCTATCAAAAATTTGTGGCACTGTTTGAAAACTCTTGTCCAAATGAGGTGCCCATCAAATAAAAGGGAACTAATTGAGGCTATAATTGTTTCCTGGCATCATGTAATAACGAAAGAAGAGCTTAAAATTCAGCGTCGATGTGAAGCTGTAATCAAAAATAAAGGGTACCCTACTAAGTACTGATAACTCACTGCAATCATCACTATCTAATGTATATTGATAACTATTATCGTTGAACTTTTTTTATATTCAATTCAGTAATAAATTCTTTTAAAATGATATATACAAGTTTGCATTTTGTGAAACGTAACGTTTTCTATAAGCATACAAAGTTCAAAAACAAAAATTTCCAAAAGTGTCCACAATTTTGGCTACCACTGTACATGTCTTTTTAAGTTTTGGAAAAGTGGGGGATTTAAAAGGTTCCATGAAGCAAAATAAGATGAGAACTACTGATGTAAAAGGAATATTTGATAATGTCATGCGCAAGGAAGAATTTACTTAAGTGTCATTTAGTGAAAGTTTGTCTAGTTGACAGTTCGAAAACACTATGGAGCTCAATTCTGATTATTTTCATGAAATAACTTTTCTATGTTTTCAGAGTTGAATTAAATGAACAAGTATATAAATTTACATGGTATTGTGAAATCTCCTTTCCTAGTGAAAATTTATTCATGGTTCAATGAATTCGGAAAGATGCAGTATTTTTTTTAATATGAAAATCACTGTAGCTGACTGGCTATTGTTTGAAGTAAAATATTATGTTTATAGAGCAATCATTAACATGTGTTCAAATTAAAGACATTCTAAATATCGGAAAGAAATATTCTTTATGAAAAACTTGATGCAATCATTTTGGAACTTTGCAATCATTGAAGGTACCATTGCCACACAGTGAACACAAATGTTTGAGTAAATCAGAATTGAAAAAATGCTTAAAAGGTTTGATGAAGAATGTAAAAAAAAAAAGATCTTTTACTATTACAACAAGTAATGAATCTTAATTCTGATAACTTGATCCATAAACCAAATACCTGTCTGCTGTATGGTTCTTTTTCTCAATCTTTCTACTTAGGCCAAGAAAGAATGAAAAATAATTGGTATGCTTTTTCTTTTCTATAAATGGACATATGAAGAATGTTATGTCAGAAGATTAATGAACAATGGCTGCTGAATAGTATATTTCAGACTGATTGCCTAATATGAAAAAATAAAAATTAGATTAGCCGAAATCATACTGAGTGTCTTTCTATTGCAGCATGACTATATGACTCTTCCATCCTCTGTATAAGGTCCAATTTAATTTCACTTGACTTGTTATTTCCTAAAAGTATGAGAAATATCCTAGGCAAAGTTTGGAATGTGGATAATATTCCAAAGAATGGAAGCAGTATTTAACAAGTGGTTAGAAAAGATGAGATTATACTTAAAGGGAAAATCTTTTGAGAAAATGAAGCAGGAATTACTTTGATACTTCTCTGTTTTAAAGAAAATTCTCAAGACATTTGAGCAACTCTCATGTGTATATATAATTTACAATAAATACAAGACTTTTTGAAAAGAAAATTTTTTTTTAATAAGAGGAAAACATTTGTACATCAAATATTTTCTAATTAACTGCATATAAAATATATATATATATATTGTTTTATTTATATTACATTGATAAATTTAAAGCAAAATTTTAAGCTTGTTAATATATTACAAGGAAAAGCATATAAAATTATGTATATTTTGTTTTGTTATACATACAGTGCAGCCTAAGATCATATTCACTAACTGTACAGATAAACTATTAAAATGCATTTTAGAGCATTTACAGACATTCTGTTGTTTATGTCATGATTGTAAATAATACTTTAAAAACTACAGAAAAAGAAAATTTCAGTTCTCAATTACTACACAAGCAGAAGAATTGTTCAATGAAGTTTTTAAATTCTTAGTATGGAAAAATGTACATTAGTTATATTATCAGAGTTGCCAACTCTCCCAATGTTCGACCGCTCTCTCGCCAACCCGATTTACAATATATTTCTCCCGACTTTTTCTTATTCTTAAAATTTCTCATGATTTTTATGGAACTTAGCTTAATACTTTGTTATATAAACAAAACAAACAAAAAAAAAAGTGATTTTGGACGTCTGAAAGCAATTGAATTTTCTCTAGATTATATCTAAAACAAAACCTTGCGAATTAGATAACTTCTGCTTTGTGAGTGAGAGCATATACATATCCATAAACGTCGTTCTCCAGTTCTCCATTGGGCATCGTGTTCCACTGCGTGTCATCTGGCATATATTAGCCAATGAGGACAAAGCAAACTGTTATTTGGATGTTCTTTGGTTATTTCTGTCATTTTGTCCTGAGTTGTGTGAGTACACCTGCCTTCGGGAAATAGTTTTAGAAATTATCATCTTTTATAATGTCTGCGAGAAAGGTGAAATACTCGTGTATGTTTCAAAAATCGTGGGTTTGAAAAATAA